CCGGGTGCGTCGCCTCGGTCACTGTCGCCGCCGCCGCCGCCGCTGTCTCCTACCGCCGCCGCTGTCTCCGCTTCGCCGGGAGCAGGCGTTGACGGTGACGGTGGGAAGCGTGGGGGGAGGGGCGGGGGGGGGGTGGTGTTGGGTCCGAGGCGGCGGAAGCGGTTCCGAGCGAGGGTCCCCGCGGTGTTCATGCGCCAGATTCACTGGGAGAACCTGGAGTTTTGGAGGTTGGTGTGCGGGACAGGAGTGGTTGTGTTCTTTCTCGCGCGCTCGCGTGTTTCTGCGAGACCCCTATCTCGAACGCGTTTTTTTTGTTCTTGACTCTCGCCGAAACTATGTGCACGCGCCCCAAACTCGTTGGGTCAGTGCCTCAAATTCGTTGACCGACCCTGTGGGTTGAGCGAGCTCTTGCAGACGCGGTACATGGGTGTGACGCGCGACACCAGGTTGCCGCAGGGTCTCCATCCCTTCAAGTCTCAACATCATCCGACAGGCGCGAGCTTGTCGTCGCAGGACTTTGCGGAAGCGTCTGCGTGCGCTTGACGTCTAGCGCTTGCTTGCCCTCGTCATGCTTGCCGTTCCCTGTTGGTTGCTTTTGTTGCTCTGTGAAGGAAAAAGAACGTGCTGGACAAGTCGAACTACGCTTTCTTGCAGAAGCTGGTTTTCCAGGCAACCGACGAGGACGGTGTCTCCACCGCCTCGGCCTTGCGGCTAGCGTGCAGGTGAGCCATCGATCCATCGATCCATCGATTGATTCAATGCTGTGTTTATCGTGTTTGTCTTCTGTTCCACGTCACACCTCCACATGTCCCGGTTGTTTCTCCTGGGACTGACTACTTTCGCGATGATGTTAAGTTTCAGTATTCATGTATGATTAGAGCGGAGGCTTTCGTAACCATATTCCTGACCCTATCCCCCACCTATAAGCAAGCTCGTTAATCTCGTGAAGGCTACTGTTTGCCTGGTTAGTTCCGTTATAAGTGCTGCACGAAGCCGTTGCGATGGAGACGGTAGTCGCGTCGTGGCGAGAGCAACCCCCCCCCTCCCCAGCGTTGTTGCCCTGGGAAGGAGCACAGTGTGAGTGGGCCCTTTTAAAACTAGTGCCAGTGTGTGCCCAGAGAATCGATTGGCGCTATTCGGAGGGACCGGCGCTGCTCAATATATTCAATCTACAGAATCACTTGGTGATTCGGTCTGTGGTCAGCAATGTCACCGGCCCTGCTCAGTCCACGGACGGGCGCTATTAAAACGGCGCTATTGACGCCCCCCCCACTGTAGGTGGTTGTAGGCGAGGTATGCTATGTGACTCTCGTCACCGAAGGGCTCGGCCATCTTCGTCGTCGCTTTCTCTTGCTACCACACGTGAGCCTCGCGGGAAGGCGGGTCACCCTCTAGATTAACCCCCCTTCCTATTTTTGTCTACCCCCTCTACTGATGTTCCCCTTCCTCCTACAAACACTCTGAATTCGCACTCCGTGCTACAGCTCACGTTGCTAGGCGGACTCGACGGTGTCCGGCGGTTGAGGCATTGAAGACACCCTTCGTTTTTTGTTGGTGTCGGGACTTACGGTTTCCTGTGGTGGGGGAATAGTTTGGGATGTGTGCATGCAACAAACGGTGTTGGCTCGTAATCGTCGCGTAGAAAATGCTATGACTGGGCAAGCTTTGCAAGCCGTAACCCCCGTACCGCGTACCCGCTGCCCGGCTACAGATTTACGCTCGGGACCCTGGTGCAGGCCCAGGAGAGGGAGCTCATGACCACCTGGGCCGGGATGGTTCGGCAGCACCTGCCCCTCAGGCCAGAGGCGTGCCGGTGGCTGCTGAAGGAGCTAGGAGGCTCCCCGTCGACCTTGAAGGAGCTCCTGCTGTCGCCGGAAGAGAGCGTCAGGTACGCCGCGACTTCGGTCGCGACAGCGGCGCTGCAGCGGTGTATGCAGGCGGCAAGCAACGACAGCGGCGGTGAACCTGGGGGCGGGGGAGGGCCGGGAGGTGACGGTGATGATGCCTATACGGCGGCGTACGCTGCAGCTATCGAGGCGCGGGATCGCCGGGAGTTTCCGGGGGGGCAGGGGGGCACCGCTGAAGAGTTTGTCGCTTTGGGGGGGGGGGAAGGGGTCCCCTCCGCGGAGGCAGCGGGGGACAACGACGCTTTCCTGGCGCAGAAGACGGTGAGAGGATGGAGCGTGTAGGGGTTTGCGGCAGGGTGTGGCGGGAAGAGGTGGGGGGAATGCCACGATGCCACAGAGAGAGGTGTTGGTGGCATGCGCAAGTGCGTCACGGAGTGTCATGTCAATGCTGAGTTACAGATCGGCCGCACGTGTCTGTCGTTTGTTTATTAACTTTTCTAGTGCAGCCAGAAGAAGAAGAGGGGGTTTGGGTGGTTGTTGCCCAAGGAGGAGGAGATGTGTGCGGGGTGCTTGATTCGACGGAGTTCCGCCCGCTCCGCTTGGCCTGAGATGGGCGTTGAATACGCTGACGACAACACGGATCAAGTAAAACCTCGACCTGTTGCACGCTTTTTGTGGATTTTTCCACCCTCTCTCGCTCGTCACGGTTAACGTTGAAACACTCCGAACGCTTACCCGCAGGGACTCCTGTCTCTGTGGGGAGGGAGGCAGGAAGCGATGGCCTCTTCGCATCGCGTCGGCAAGGGCCAGATTGGATCATCTCATCGGGAGAGCGAAAAGGCGGCGGCGGCGGCGGCGGCTGTGGTGGTGTTCGTGGACGCGTGCCTCGGTCTCCTCTCGGTTGCACCGGTGGGTACCTGCTGCTGCTGCTGCTGCTGCTGCTGCTGCTGCTTTGGTTGGGAGCGTAGCGCCGTGTGCAGTAGCGACGATCTATGCTACCAGTCTACGTGAACACCATGCTACCGTTCAATGCCGCAGTAAGTATGGTAGGGTGTGGGTGGAAGATTGGAACCATAGTTCGGGCTCCCTTGCCGACGCTTGCCTTGCTCTGTGGCAGCACTGCTGTCGGCGCAGGCGCTTTGTAGTCGAGCACAACCGCTACCAGCCACGGCCTCGAACAACAACCTTAAACCGGGTATCCTTAAGAGGCACCAACCGAGACGTCCCCCTATCCGTTCCATCGATCATTCCCACGCCATTATCACCGCGAGCTCTGCACTATCCGTGTTCTGGACGTATTGGGCTAACGTTATGGTTGCCGTTTACAGACTGAGAGTTCACAGACAACAGGCCCCCAACAAATCACACCCCGTTCGTTTGCCCGACCCCCGCACAGAGCATCAACCAACTGGATTGGGCGCGGAGCGAGCAACTCCTGTCCATCCTCGCCGTTACCGCCGAAGCGGGACCTTCGGAGCGATCCCACCTCCTACAAACGGGAGCCCTGGGTGCCCTCATGTCCATGTTCCTGGGTGACGACTCCCCCTACCCGGAGCTCGTGCGATCGCCGTGCCCCAGGCCGAGGCTTGTTCCGAGCGGGGACGGGCAGGTTTCATCCCCTGCCTCGCCGCGACGGCCTTACCGTTGTCCGTGCCCTCCTGCGGCAGAGGGGGCCGACGGTGGGGAGGGGAGGGGGTTGCGTGGTGTAGGGGGGGGCAGGGCGGGCGGTCGCAACGGTGCGAAGGAGTACTATGACGCGACCAAGGACTTCGGCGAGGTAAGGATGGGATTGTCGTAGTGTAGGTAGAGCGTGGTTTGGATACATATTGAGTAGATTTTCATCCGTTTCAATGTGGTACGTATTGTCGCAGCTCGGCCGGGACGTGGGGTGGAGGCTTTGGTGAGCATGTTGTGGGCGTTTTGTGTTTCGTCGACAGGGCGGTGGGTCGTGCCGTAACGGCTAACCGTTGTTCGTTGTTACAACGTTGGTGAGGACGATCAAGCTCTCGTTGCACGAACCGAACCCCGACGCAGCAGGCGACCGCCAGCGTTGTTTTTGTGGAGATTGTCACAACAGAGATCACCTGTGATGATTCGTCCGATCAATCCGCCCTCAGACACTGCACCCGCATTTGATTCCCCCCCCCCCAAAAAAAACACAACGTCTTTAGAACAATGGCATCCGAAACGATAATGACAACGAACGGTGCAAACGAAAGCAGCAGCGCCTCGAAAATGAATTATTGTACCGAACGAAAGCAGAGCCTCAAAAATAGCTAGTTCAACCACACCCTCCCTTCGAGAACGCGTGGTCTTACCAAGTGGGGCATGCAAAACATGAGTACTCCCCCTCACTACCCCTACCCTCTGCTTGCAGGATCAGGATCTGTCGGCGCTTCTAAAGGCAATATCTCCCCTCGTCCTCGCCTCCGAGCTGGCCTGGGGGGAAAGCGCCAGCAGCGACACCGGCACAGCCGGCGGAACGGCCGCCCCCGCCGTCTGCTTCTCTCCGGTGGCGCTGCGGCCGCTCTCGAGGATGAGCGAAGAGGAGAAGCAGGTACAGCGGTTTGTGTGTTGTAGTTTTCGTATTTTTGCTTGGACTTTTATCTCCAAGGTGATGCCATGTGTGTTTTCCGTTGTATGTTGTGGTTTTGGCTTGGGCGCTTTCTCAGTGGTGATCGCGTGTGTGGGTGGTTGTTGTCGGTTGAGAGATTGGGTCTCACGCCGGTGGGTATGCGTGCTTTTCGCGATGCCATACATACGGCCATGGTGAAGTCTGCTACACTGCTGTACCTTGTGCCCGTCATCCAGTCCTGTTGATTTTGTTCAGATTGGCTCATAATCCCCCCCC